TTTTACTAGTCACTATGGTTACCAAAGGTTGAAGCACTACACTTTTTTGCCTTCTGTACAGCTCACCACTAAATATGCTTTCTATATACCCAAGCAAATTGCCATTGTCATCAAGCATTAAAATTTTTAATCTCTAACAAACATATAACAGAAAGACACCAATGAGATCAAAATATTTCCTTTCATCTATAATACTCTTTGTGAAGGTAAATCGTTTTTTATGTAGTCAATATACATATCATTTAGGTAGCTCAACAGCGCTCTTTTTTGTCATGTCTGGATACAATGTTTTTGCTTGCCTTACTGATCTTGATCTCTGAGCACATTAACTCTGGGCAAATCTACACAGCTTCATGTGGATCGCCCAAGAAAGATTCAATTCAAGGCAAAATGACTGAATTTCTAATTTCCGCTTTTTTCCTCTTTTACCACTGTCAATGAACAACCACACTGACTTAAACCCCATTAATCATCTGTTCTGTGACCTCACATTTGAGAAATTAAACTTTGTGACACCAGCCTCAAATAAACCATAAGTGCATCTCTGTGGTTACAGACAACCATTCTTTCTGTCATATTCTATTTCCCAATACATCTTGTATGGTCATCTTTAAAGGTCAGTATGGACTATGATTGTCCGTGAAAAAAAAGACATCCCGTGTAAGGGTAATGTACCTGAGGTGTCCACACCCCTTCTCTAATGTTTCACAAGATTTCTTCCTTTTCTTGAAGATGTTGTTTCCGTATCATCCTGTAGGCCATGATGGCACGTTCTCTCTCCTTGTCAGCTTTTTCTTGCTCAAGAGCTGACATGTGCTTACGTTTTTTGGTTTTGGGAATCCCAGAATTATCTGGAGTCCTATTCTGCACATTTATGTCTTTTGTATTCGGTGGGATTAGTGAGTGCAATAACAGCGCCTTTGATCCCTAGGACAGAGAACAATCAAATAAATGCAAAGTTCAGTGACTACCAAAGATAGGAGAAAATGCAATGGTCTCAATGTTCATGATAATTTTTTTTAAGGGCATGCAACAAAGAATCAACTGCAAAACAGAATAGTGCACAATTATTTGCCAAATGCGAAGTGAATATTGTTGAAAATTGTTGAGAGGAT